TATGATGAAATTTAGGATACGTCAGGAGGCAACTCGTATATAGTCGGGAGGCAATTCGTATACAAATTATGGGCCTTTTTGACTTCGGGAGGCAACTAGTGTGCGCCCCAAAACCAATGTACACCTATGTATGAAATATATTTTTTTCACGGGCAAAGTCTGGAGGGACAACTATAGTATACAATATATACATATATATTTAGGCAGATGTTTGGTCGAATATTATTTTTTTAATTTTTGACGAGGGTTGTTAGCATTTTCCAAACAAAAGTGACCCGCATCCGACTAATATTTACATGGTCCATGAATGTACATACAATTTCATTTAAGGGGGGGGGCTATTATAAAGTCTTAGTATCGAGTCCACAGAAACCCCCATCTCTCTTGCTCGCTTTTCCGTACATATGTAATAATATGAGCTATGTTTATATTAATTGGTATACTCTTCATCAGTCTTCGGTCAATGGACAGACAAGGAGGATACAGTACAGACAGTACAGTTCAAACACTATCTATCAATGTATTAAATATTTTTCGTCTATGTTTTGACTTCTAAAGGATGTACATTAGAGGCACGCGTGTTAAAAAAAATTTGAATTTTATGGAAGCATTCCATTTTTATTTTTTCATAACATTGTGATAGTTATAATTTATAAGTTATAAAGTCTTAAATTAATTGTTAATGACTACCTAATGAGATGTAGTATCATGTTAAGTGATGGCGCCGAACACAGGGTACATTATTTTGGTGGTGGATCTTAGTATAATCATTGCAGGAACAGGGCACAGGATCTATACTTAAAATGTTATCAATTTTAGCACGAATAAACACACTAAATCTTTATCCTTCAATACTTTCAATAGAATAGTATAGAATAACGCTAAAATTAAATGCTTTTACTATGATTGCAGTACGTACATCATACTTTATATACAACGGTTTCCATTGTCACCAGTCTGCTTGTAGCGCAGATGAATAAATTATTTCAACGTACATTTTAATTGGTTTTAGCTAGATTTAGTAATTATTCAGATAAATAAATTTACATATAATAATATTGAGAAGTTATGAAATATTCACCTTTTGTTTTCCAAAATCGAACGATGTATAGAAAATGATAATATAAGCAAACATCCGGTGAAAATTTAAAGCATCTGCGGTTGTTGACTTTTTAGTTAAACCAAAAGAACTAAATCGATTTTTTGAAAACTGGTTTTTCTTTATTTTTTTTTTTTTTTGTTTTTCCCAACGCTGTATTGACCAAATGAATATATTATCATTTTCCATACATCATAAAATTCTAAATGATTTTACTCATTTGAACTGTTTATAGATATAGGAAATTTCTTATTTTTTTTAGCTTTTTTTAAATTCTTGTGGACAAAAAATGTCTATTTCCATAAAAAACTAGAATGCAATATAACCCTTATAAGATATTATTAATGTAATTAAAAAAAAAAAAACAAAGTCCGGCTTAAATTCACAATAGTTTTTTGAGTTTAAAATAATTCGCACGCAGGAGGGGAAGTGAGGGTGAAACATTGAGAATTATACTGCAGTTTCATTTTACGGTTTTCGCTTTAAATCCCACGTTGGGCACTACAATGGATTTTTTGGACGTCGGACTGTGAACCTCACGTCTGTATTAATATATTTTTCAAAATTTTTAAATAAATCTCTGAACAAGTCCAATCGCAGAAGAAATATATAACCTAACCGGTAGGGAAGTTACCCATCGCGGGTAGCACCCTTCAAGGCACAGAAAGATAATTAGATATTACCTATAATACAGAAGTTCCCGACATTTTTCATTCTACGCCCCCATTGTAAATCTACTAAAATCTCATTTCCCCCCCCCCCCTTAAATTAGAGTTAAGGCCAATTTTTTTTTTATGAGCGCTACAAATAAAACATCATAAAAATTAACTATAAATTATTACACAATTTACAACCATTTACTTTTATTATCTTCATCATTTTGAAAATGTATTATAAATCAACTTTCGAAGTAATAATATTAAGTATGAGAAAAAAATATTGAATATAAAAACAATAATATTAACATCAAGACACAAATCCCTCTATAAAAAAAATAGCAATTATGTTTATGCTTAAGCGATTAATAAAGGGAAAAAATAATACATTTTTTGAAAATAAAAGAGAAAATATGGTTTATAATATTCTTGTCAAATATGCCAAAAAATCTTTTGGTCAATCACTTGTGGACTACTTAGGGCCAACGTACTTTAACTTAATGCCGTATGAGTATAAAAAACATCCATCAGCGTCAAAATAGTGTTAAATAATTTGTTTATAAGTATTTATTCTTAAAATTAATTTAATCTATTATTGTATTATTTATATATTACTAAATAGATACATTCAAGTAATTTAACTTCATAATTTGTTTTTTGTATTATTTTTATTACGATTCTTAATTTTAATTTGTAAATATGTTTAAACACTAAATCTTTTATTTCTCTCGTAATTTTGATTTTTCTATAACATTTTACAGTAAAACCTGTCTCGTGCGGAATTGCAAGGGACCAATAAAAATTTCCGTTTTAGGCAGGTTTCCATACGACTGAATAAAAAGGAAAATTCCGTAATATGGAGGTATAATATTCCGCACGATTGAGGTTGTAACATTTTCCGGCCAATAATAAAAAATATCATAGGCTATACATGTCATAGGCCTAAACAAATCTTTGAAGACATTATGAGAGCAAAACAACGACACGAAACGACAGGTAAACTACGACTACAGTGACAATAATAAGCACTGATGTGTAGACAGGCGCGGATCCGGGGGGGGGGCAAGGGGCTATGCCCCCCTCGTGGACTCTAGTGAATTGTCTATTATATCTACTTTCTGCAGCCGATAAAATGCATATCTATCGCCGATAGCGTTTCGGCCGTATCCGTTTTTGATTTTATTTAAGATGCCCCCCCCCCCCCATAAATATGTTCTAGATCCCCGCCCGTGTGTTGATCCAAGATAAAATGTACTCATCTGTCGATACGGATTAATCGCTGCACTCAATAACTATCGTTTATTAGCAAAATAAACGTGGGTATCAAAAATATTTTCGTTCATTACACGATGTGTTTTTCCGTGAGGTGTATATGATTTTGCGGAACCAATAAATAGCTTTCCGTTTTACGTTAGACAGGTTCCGTTTTATCATCAAGGGTTTAATCCTGTGTTAAATTATAGAAGTCTGCCGGGGCCATAATAAATTTCCGCGCAGAAAAGGATCCCGTCTTATCGATAGGGTTCGGATGAGACGGGTTTCACTGTAATTGTTTTATTTAAATCACTAACTAAACTGTACACGATATTTATTTATTCATATAATATTGTACACACTCTCTATCTGTAACTATCAAGCTTTGCTCGAAACAGATAGACGATCGAGTTTTGTAATTATGGACTGTTGTTAAATTTAAAAATTTTCATCGACAAATAAAAAAAAAAAAATTTATAAATAACAATCTCGGTCTGTCGACACTCTATACGTATATAATATATCGTTATACCCACAATATAATATAATAATTATTTTGTAAAGTTCGCTAGTAATACAGTGATTTCAATTTTGCACATTGTAAAATAACATATAATCATCGCTTTCGTAATTCCGTCGTCGCTATATCCCCCCCCCCCCCGAGCAGACTCTAAATTTCCCCCTGGGTGATTCCCCCGGTCGGGAACCTCATCTGCTTTAATACCCCCTATATCATAACACTACGTAATGTACGCCAAACAAGACGGAATTAGGAGTACATATTTTTAAGACTCGCGAACAAATATTTATGTTATTTTATGACGTCGTCGTCGCCGTCACAATAACGCCGTCATACAATATTGTATACAGGAAACGGGTCGTCGAGTCGAAGTCGGCGTGTATTATATTTTTGGGTATTCCCCGCACCGCCCCGCGGGATTCGGTCGCCGCCCGTAATGTGCGGGCACTGGCCGACGACGACGGCGACGGGCCGCAATAAGGGTTTTATGCACGTCGTGTTTGCGTTCTTAACGATCCGGCGCGCGCGTATAGCACGAAATCGCCCCTCGCCCGCTGCACGCGTACTGAAGACGACGCGCCGCGTAAATCTAATATGGGCGTGCGTTATTGGGTCGCCGAAGATCGGCGGCGGCGGTGGCGGCGGCGGCGGCGGCATCGGGTTTCCGCGTGTGTTGTGTTTTCGGATTTCGTGCGCGCGTCTTCGCCACGCAATAATTGTTTTCCCCCGAGCTCCGCGGCGGCGGCGGGCCGAGGCCAAGACGACGACGTCGCCCCGACCTCCCGCAACATTGTAACCACGCGCGCGTCACCCGCGGACGGCGGACGAGAAAACATTGCGCAATCCGCAAACACCGCCGCCGCCGCCGTCGCCGAATTGTTTGCACAAACCCGATCGTCAAATTTTTCGCCAAGGGTCTTGTCATTATTATTATTATTATTATTATTATTAATATAGGTACACGCGCGCGTCTTTGTGCGACGTCTGTTCGTAATGAAATTGGCGCCATCCGCCGCGAATCGTTGTGGCGCCTGCCGCGGCCGTTTCGGACGACGACGACCCGACCCAGCGTGGTGCCCACACCGCCGGCCACCGGCGGACGACGGACGGTGTCGGACCGGCGGCGGCACGGCCGAAACTCAGCTGTTCGCATTATCAAATTAGAGCGCCGTCCCGCGGCAGTTGTCACTACTGCGTGCGTGCGTGCGTGCGCGCGCGCGCGCGCGGAATCGATACTATCGGCGATGATATTTCGTCTCGCCATCCCCCGCCCCGCGCGGTTTCGATTGTTCGGCGACGGCGGCGGCGGGCCCGTCAGGCGAGACGACGTCGCGCCATCGAAATCGACACGATTGTCGTACCGCGGGACGACGGGGAGGGGGGCGCACCTTCCGCGCTTATCCGGCACGGGCGGGGGGCAGGAGGGTACCGGATGAGATGTGCCGCAAACATCGATAGCTGGCGACGGCGCCCGTGACGCGCGAGTGTGCCGCCGCCGAGTGTGTGCGGTGAGAAGGAAAAAAAGGATGTGACCGGAGCATTACGAAAATGGGCGCCCGCGGTTGATGTCGGTCGGTCGGTCGGAGCAGCAGCAGCAGCAGCAGCTATTATCAATTCAGTCGCCGCGTTCTTTGTACCACCGCCGCCGCCGTCGCTGCCGCCGCCGCCGCCGACACCGCTCCGGAAAGACCGCCGACGTACGTCTACGTACGCGGCCGCCGCGGTTAGTAGTCGGACGGCAGACAATGGTGCGTTACGTCCGCCGCCGCCGCCGTTGAATGTCGCGCGCGATATTAATATCATAACAATTGTTGTTGTTGTTGTTATTCTCTCGTCACCACCACCGCCGAGAAAGGGCCGCGTTCAATTTTGTTATTGTTGCTGAAATAATACCGCCGCAATATTTTCGGTCGTTCTTCGACGGAATAAAAATTTAATTAATCCACACCGTCTTCGCGCGTTCACCGATGCCTGCACCTGTCCAATTTGCCAGTTAATTAATTAACGTTCACAAGAACAATATTACCGACGTTATAATCGTATCATAATATTACATGGTCTGAGCGGTGTCCGAGCGGCAAGAGGATAGGTCGACCTGTCGTTGAATTCTTTTCGTCCTGTCCAGATCCGCGTCCGCACTTCCTGTCACCATGATCGGTGTCGAGAAGAAAGACGATGGCGACCGTTCGACCGTTTCGATGGACCAGACGTTCACGGGCACCATACGCATAAAGCTGTGCGAGGCCTCAGGCCTGCGGCCCACTGACCTGCAGACACGTCTGAAGAACATGTCGTTTTTGAAACCCGAGGACCCGTTGCTGGACGCCTACGTCAGCATCGACGTCGACGACAACATACTGCTGCGGTCGTCCACTGTGCCCAAGACCTATGATCCAGTCTGGAACGAGTATTTCACTCAAGACGTTCACGACGCCAACCGACTGGGCTTGACGGTGTTCCACGATGCTGTCATTGAAGACTTGTTTGTGGCCAACTGTAAGCTGTCGTTCAGTGAACTCATTCAACGTGAAATATCAGAGGACCAAGAATTCTGGGTACGTATTCTACTTTATGTTGCGTTATAATTGGGTAATACATAAAAAAAAATCATACGCGATACGTCGCTTAAATAAACTGACGATTGAATCCAATTATAACTTCTAGGTTTAGTGTTACCCACCTATGTATTTTTATTTGTAAAACTAGAAATTATATTTTTTTTGTTAGGTATGAGTTGAATTTCTACACAGTTATAGATACCTAAGTGGAAGAATAGATTGAATTATTTACCGGATTTCTATCAGTATTATTGCTTATGCATGCAAGTAATTAAACAATATTGCCATTGTTTACTTTATTACCTAATATAAAAGAAGTGATGTTTTATGATTTCTGCAACTTACCAAGTATTTATTTTACAATGTGTTATTTGATTTTTAATAAATAATATGTTCTGTTACTGTTGTAGTTTGTCTATTGTTTTGATATGAAAATATATTTTATTAAAACACTAGGTACTTACCTAATAAAATTTACTATAAAAATTCGTTGAGACCAATATTATTTTTATTGTATTCTAAAGTTGCATGTAAAATCTCTTGTATTGTCTGTTTGTGTGCATGTTTTTGTTTTATAAAGTAACTTGAATAATTAATATACTAATTTAAATCTGAAATTTGTTGAATATCAAAGTAATGAGTCATTATGATATGTAGTAGTGCTTACCTCCATACTTTTTCTTTATAGCCAATAACTATTTAATAGTAAATACAATTTTAAAATATGTAAAATCTTATGTCAAAAAAAATATTTTTAAACTACCTTAGCTGTATTAAGTATAGGTTAATTTAAACTCTCATAATTTAATTCTTAAACAAATATATTGTAGTTTTAATAATTGTATTAGTTAATATTATGTATAAAAATGTATGTGTTTTATTCTTAAGATATAATGCTTTAATATTAATTGAGTAGGTAGCCTCCAATACAATTAACTTAATTTAATGGATATAATATATTTGTTGAACAGATATCATCCTTTAATTTAAAAAAAAAACTGATTCATTATCATATTAAAAATAACTTAAATAACTACCTACATTGCTTGAATAAATTAATTTTGGGTGAGCAATTTTTGTCATGTACCAATATTTTTTTACTTGTCAAGAATGTATCGGATACATTTAAAAAGAGACCGATACTTCAACGACATTACAAAACACATATTTATTAGTGTTGAGTGTAATATATAGGTACCTACTTACAGTTTAATATTTCAATATTTTTGTTTTTATTTAACTAATAATTTAGGTGATTCATAATACTGATAAAATATATTATAAGATAATTAATAAAACTAATATTAATAATTAACAATTTCTATACCTAATAATCTTTGTTGCTTTGACAATTACTGATAGGTAATTTGAACATAATATTCATTGACCTTAAATATTATGTGTTATACCTACTTATTGTACCTATTACTTATTTATAAAAAAGGTTGAGCGGATGTCTTGCAATTGGTTTCAATGTAACCCTTTTACATTAAAAAAATCAATATGTTTCTTATATTTTTAATATAATATACAGTCACATAAGTTGCCACTTAAATGTAATAATTATGGTATTACAGTAATGACCATTTGATTAGTAAAATTATCAAACACAAAGCTAATATACTTTATAGTAATCAATAATTAATTTTGTATACCTTTTGATAATTCTTAATTCTGTGATAAAGATTTTTGTACCCCGTTGTTGTCTTTCTATACAAAATAACTAGTTTTTGTGAGTTAAAAATATAAAGTATACCAATATTAATAAATGGTTGTTTTCAAATAATTAATGCACAATTGTTGGTAGGTACCTATAATGTTGGTATCTGATGTATCTAATATTATAAGTACTTAGTAAATAATACGTATTACATTTTCTTACATACAAAGATTTATACATTTATATATTATACATATTTTTGACATAAGATGTTACCTTTTCATATTGGATTATTAATCTTCTTTAGTTCTTTCTCATGTTTGCTGATTAGATACTTAAACATTTTTGTATTTTCATAGGAATCTTACGCATTATTTACTGTTCCTGTTAGACATGGTTTGCGTTTACAACTCTTTATTTTGATGAATCAAATTATTACTTATATACTCTGTCTCAATGGAGAACAATTGTTTTTTGTGCATTGTGAATGAGGCGGTTGGTGTTAAGAACTACGTGATCGTGCTAACAACTGATCGTTGTTAAGAGATGAGCAGAACTGACGATAATCCGACTGATTATTCTCATTTTAAGACAGAGTATAGTTTGGTACTTATTATTAGTTGCACCTTGTGTAGTTAAGCTAGATCAATTTTATTTTGAGCTACTCACAAGTTGATAAGAAAAGAAAGAAAGTTTTAAATAATGTTTTCATGTTTTTTACATTTAATTAAAATAAATGATAATAAGTGATGAACTAACTATTAAATAAATGTTCAAAGTTCTGAAACTTAATAAGTTAGTGTATAAATATTTTTCGTTTATTATTTTAGGTACTAAAACTAGATAATTGCATATAATTTATACTTACTTAAATATATAAACATTTTTCTTTTTAAAATTCATCTATTTTGTTATTTTTGAAATATCTTAAAATTTATAATACTTTTTCTTAGTACACGATTCAATAATAGTTTTAAATTTAGGAGTTTTGCCAATATATAATATTTTATGGCTTTCAAAATGTATGAGTAAGAAAAATATTAAAATTGTAAACATTGAGCAAAATTAATAATCTAGATGAAATAGGATTACCTATTTAATATCTAGATTATTTGTAATGATGTTTGCATTGTTAGAGTCTTGTATAAACAATTAGGACTTTTTGATATAGGTACCCGGTACCTACTTGTGTTTTGAAATGTATCTTTATGGAGTTCTAATAAATTAAACACTGTCAACCATGTAAACACTTTTGAACTTTATTAAGGTTGTTGTTGATGATAATTTATAAATTACATCAATATAGGTACTTGATTGAGTTATACTTATACCAGTTGTGCCAATAAATATACCTAGGTATGTACAATAATTAATAATCTAAATATTAAAGCTACAAGTGCTTAAGTGTATAGCTATAGTATTTTACTACCTAATAACATTAAAATGTATTTAATTATACAAAATATGTACCACTTTAATATATAAAACAAATTTGCACTGGTATCATAGTCCATAACATTGTATTATTTATCAATGTATTTATTTATTTTCAACAAAAATTGTATTACGAATTAAGATAATTATATCACATCATATCATTCCATAGTAGGTATGTATATAGGTAGGTAGTAGGGTGGGTACTATATGACGCATCTTATGTGTTGAATTTCCAGTACATAAATATATAACTAGGCTATCTAAAAATTGCAGAGCACTCATTTCTACTGTATAAATAAAACCGTTTACTCACGAAATATTTTTTTGATATTAAATATTAAATAACAATAGATCCATGTTTCACTTAGAATAGAAAGAATAAATCAAAAATATTGTTTTGTTGTAAATATAAATTAAATTTGTACTTATTTATAATTTATCGAATCAATCAATTTATTTTTTTTTCAACATTTTAATAATTGCAAGTATAATTAATTAAATTTGTGTTTGAAAATATGTACTTACCTATATGAATGATAAGATACTAACAAATTGGAAATTATTCAATTACCTAGGCATTGAAATTAACTTGACAAGTTAAATAGCTTACCTAATGTTAAATTATTAATGATAAATATGATATTCCTATTATTTATTCAAATATATACGTCATCTCCATTTTTCTTTTAATAACGAATTTATTAAAATTCTGATTTTTAGAATTTTTTAAATATACCTACTCAATGACTATTTTTTTAAAAATTTAAAAATTTTTATTTTCTGTTGATTTATATTAATTTATCGACATAAATAGTTTGTAAAAATGATCCGAGTATACAAAATACTAGATCCAATACTACATCTGTTTTATATTTTTGTAAAACCATTTTTAAGGACTATTATCCTTAGAATAAAGGTTTTAATGATTGAGAAATTACTCATCCACATTTTGAATTGCGTGCATCAAAATTTTCAAAAAAATATTCACTAAATAATTTACAATAAAAAAAAGGACTTCTGATTTGAGAAATCACGTTTTTTTGAAACATTCTACTCCTTAATTAGTACAACAAAAAAATCAAGAATTTGAAAAAAAAAGTCTGTGTAGTTTAATATTCCTAATGTTTGGATTTCTATAATTTCATTATTTAAGGAAACAATGAGGGTTAAACATGCTTGACAAATCACCCTGTATATACACACACATATATATATATATAATATTTAATTGAAAACTTAACTTCAAAACTTAGTTTAATTAATAGTGGATTTATACAAATTGTTAATTGACATTTGTTTCGATAAATTGAGGTTAAGAATAAAGTGAGATCCAGGGTCAAATATTATTTCATCGGATTTCAAGTTTTTTTGTTCAAATTCAATTTTTGCAATTATTTAATAACTGTATACTTTTGAATAAAAAATTTCAAAAATCTTATTGACCTAGCCCCTCTATAAATAACTTATTATGTTCTTAAATTAATTTTTTTTTCTAAATGTATGTATTCATCGAAATTTTGAAAAAACACCAATAAACGATAATTGTTACAAATTGATAGTCTTAACTTTATATTTTTTTAATTTAAAACATTTGTAATTTTAGATAGGTACTAAAACGTAACATTTTACGAGTTAAATAGTACCTTTCTAATGTATTTCAAAACTTCGACATTTCTCTGTACGATTTGAAAATATTAAAAAGGTCTTGATGAAACATAAAACCGTACTTATTCGTCGTGTGGTATTTTTTTGTAAATACTTATAATTTATTTAATATATACACCGGGTAAACCGAACTGTTTTATACAAACCAAATATTATTTGAATCCGATGAATTACCATTATTTTCATATTATTTTGTATAAAAACAACTCGATCCTTAGTCAGAGAGCTCAGGATA